AGGGCCGGCTTTAAGAAGCACAGGGCCTGATTTTAGGGGCTGGGCCCCACATACACCGTGCATCTGGGGTCCTACCCATGCGCCGCGCACCCAGGAGCGGGGCCCGCTTACGTGCAGGGCCCCATTCCAGGGAATTGGCTGAATCAGCCTAAAGCCAGCCCTGGAGGGAACGGGGGTGTCTCTGTCCCAGCCATGGCAGGAGGCTGACTCAGGGGTGACAGAAGGAAGAGGGGCCCCAGGGAGCTGAGGGGGGTCCCAGCGGGGGCTGGGCGGAGGGAGAGAGAAACTGAGCTCACACGGGGGGAGAGGAAAAGGGGAACAGGACCAGAACTCTGCTCTCAGCAGCTCCCCAGCTGCCTGCCATGGGCCCAGGACTGCCCCTGTCTGTGCCCCGGGCCCTGGTGCTCTGGGATCTGATCCATCCCTTCCCCCGGCAGAGCAGGGACCCTCCCATGGACTCTTGGGTCCTCTGCCGGGGGCAGGAGAAAGAGCAACGTCCCCGAGTGCCCCAGAGTCCATGCTGGGCACAGCTCCTCAGTCACTGGGGGAAGAGGAACTCCCCTCTTGGACCCCCACCCCCGCGCCAGAGAACCAGGAGAGCCCAAGGCCAAGAGAAGGCACGGAGGGGTGAGGCCGAGGGTTTTGGATACCAGAGGGGGTACAAGCTGAGGCAGGGAGTTGAGGTGCTGGAGGGGCTGAGGGCTTTGGGGGAGCCCTAGGGATAAGGGGCTGTAGGCAGGGGATTGGGCTCTGAGCTGGGGCTGTGGACTTTGGTGGGGGGAGATCAGGAAGAGGAGTCTGGGGGCAGGAGGTGGCCCCTGGGCTGGAGGAGGCTCAGGGAGGGGCAGTTTCTGGAGCTCTGAGGGGGGCATGAGACCCGAGGCAGCTCACCTGGTCTGTGCGCTCTTAGGGGTTCCCCGCTTTGTGCCCCCAGTGCGGCCGGCAGAGTGTCTGAGGGGGGGAGAGAGGGAGATTCAGGTTTGCACGGGGAGCCCAGAGCGGGGGCAGGAGGTGGCCCCTGGGCTGGAGGAGGCTCAGGGAGGGGCAGTTTCTGGAGCTCTGAGGGGGGCATGAGACCCGAGGCAGCTCACCTGGTCTGTGCGCTCTTAGGGGTTCCCCGCTTTGTGCCCCCAGTGCGGCCGGCAGAGTGTCTGAGGGGGGGAGAGAGGGAGATTCAGGTTTGCACGGGGAGCCCAGAGCCGGGTTGTCATGTGACAGACACACTCAGGCCTCCTGCACGTCCCGCCTTTTGTCGTTCCCTAGGCCCAGGTCCTGTAGAGCCTTTGGCATCAAAGCCCATTTCGTCACTTTGGTCCCTTGGTGCTAACGGGATGTTCAGAGAGTGTGAGATCCTGGCTCTCGCTGGGAGCTGTTTATCCCTGGGGAAACTGAGGCAGGGGAGGTCGGCTCCATTGGCCAGGTTCCCCCTGTGCCAGCAGAGCAGGACGGGGAGGCCACTTGTGACTGGTTGGTCAGTGGCTGCAGGGGCC